CTGAGATGATCAGGGCCATGCATTTGTGTCTCCTCAGCACCGCCGCTTTCTCTAGTTGTTGATGTTCCTGGAGTCCAAGGCATGAAATTCCAAGCATGAAGATAATTAGCTATTTTGAGATGCTTACATTCCTTGGCTTCTTAAGACTGTTGTAATCAGGGAAGTTCTTTTAAAAACTTAATCAAAGGTTCAATATGTAGTTAAGCAACACACTGTGTAGAAACAAACATAAGGATAATCATATCCTTTATTGTACTAACATTCTTCAATCAGAATGGTGTTTGAGATAAGATAAGTTATATGGCTGTAATGTGTGTCCATGTGATTTGGTTGGTGGCAAGGAAAGGAGTGAATTGTTAGTCTAAGGCTAGCCACTGACTGCCAAAACTTTCTACATCAGGGACTATTACCTAATCAACTCATATAAAAACCTGGGGATTCTTAAGAGGTTCCTAGTGTGTGATTCATCACTAGGCTGTTTGTTGAATTGTGAACAAAGTAAAGTCTTTGAGAAAACCTACTCATATTAGTTTGTAATTGATTATCTGATCTGACAAATGAAAAGAAAAGGTATGGTGGTTTTCTTGGAGACTTTAGCTTTCCTATATTTTGGTATATTATTGTTTGAACTGTATCCTACAGTTCAATGCTTGTTTGAGAATAGGATGTGAGCATTTTAGATTTACTTTATGACAGTACTGGGTAAATAAGAGTTAGAGGTAAGCTTTTTATCCTAGGGTTTCTAAAAGCTACTGCTGAGGTGAGCCTTATATGTTAAGATTATCTGAAGATAAGACTGAACCTCATTGGCTCAAAGTTCAAAGGAGAGCATTAGCTTACAGACATAAATCACTGAGTTGTTATCCATCAATTTGTAACAGCAGTGCAGATGGACAGCATTTATCTAGACAATCTAGTCTCATTTACCTGCAGTCTGAGGTCAGTATGTATAAGGGTTTTGTAGGTACTTTGAACTCTTTTGTGCAAAGATGAGAGTTCAGTTTATTTTTATTCTTTAATCAGAAGGAGCAGGTGGTTTTGTGCACCTTTTCCAGCACCGGTTGTTAGCTCCACTGTACCCATCCTATACCATGTCAGCTCCTTCCTCTTACATGACACTGCCAGAGGAGACTCATCAGGTTATTTGCAGACAAAATTTCACTGTATGACACTCCATTATTTGCTATTTGTTTCATGTATTAATTTTATTTAATCTCTCCACAAAATGACTGTGAGCTCTGTTGGTCAGAGTTATGTATATTATTTTAAAATCTATAATAGTAAGGTTTACCCTGTCAGATACCTAAAAAGCCAATTAGGTAAAATAGAATCAGGCTAGACTTGGTGTGGCATTGTAGGATAAGCACTGCATTGCTAGCCAGAAGGTCAGTGGTTCAAACCTACCAACCTGCATTTTGGAAACTCTATACAGGATCCTTATGAGTCAGAACCAACTCAATAGCACTTAACAACAGTGACCACAGATGAGGCCCATGTAAAAGGGAGAACACACAGGTAAAATCAACCCAATTCCAGCAGATTCTTAACTTTGTGGGAATTTGAGTGTTATGTCACCTTAACAGAATACATCCACTAGTGCAGTTTGGCTTGTAGTTTATCTGTTTGTTTGCTACTTCTTTCAGAGCTTAGTTCTGAACACACAGAAAGTGCTTGATAAATATTTGTTTGATTGTGAGATGCTTCTTGTGTCATAATACTATCTAGGGTGCTTTTAAATGACTATCTTAGATTTAATATGTGTAATATTATGTAAGAATGTTCTCACCCATTAAAGGACTTGCCCTGCTTGACAGAAGATGCTCATACTGATAGAGAGATTAAGTCTTACCTTAGAATCAACAGACTTGGAGATTGAGTTATCACTACTTTGTTAAGACAAAGCTTTTTGGATCAAGGCTTCTAAGTTAAAACCCATTGTATATTTTAGTAGATCACTTTCCAAGTTAAAACCTAGTGATAACATATTGGACCCATCTATTACCATAATATTCTTTAAATCTTGCATTGCTATTCTTAGACTAGGTTAGAAGTTTCTTAAGTATAGTGACTTTGTTTCCTGCTCCATCGTTGAGGTCCATATAATGCCTGTACATATAGGAGTCCTAGTGTGGTGCTGTAGGATAAGCACTGGACCACAAGGTAAGTTTGACCCACAAGGTTGCCAGTTCAAACCCACCAGCAGCTCTTCAGAAACCCTGTACAGGATCACTATGCGTCAGAATCAACTCAGTGGCATTTAACAACAACAACAACGACAATGCTCTGTGCATAGTAGGCTCTGAACAGTATTTATGACTTCTCTTATTACAGTTTTTAGTTTCACCTTCCTTCATTATTTGATTGAATGATCTCCAATTTTATGAATTATCACAGTTGGGATTGAAGTAAGTTTTAAGTTTTTCCTCTCTCTTCCTTATTAAAACTTACTTATGTATACTTTGTTCCCTACTTAAAAAATAAGAACAGAAACTGGGCAGATGTATATGTTGAAAAGGACTCCTGGTGTGATGCTGTAAGATCACCTCTGGACTGCGAACCAAAAGGTTGGCAGTTCAAACCCACTAGTTGCTCTTTGGAAACCCTATAAAGGGTTGCTATGCGACAGAACCAACTCAACAGCACTTAACAACAATATATGTTGAAAACAAATCATCATTTATCATCTCTTCTATCCTTTGTTCAGTAGGTATATTTGTTTAGAGTTAGTAGCTCTCTTTGCTGTATACATCTCCTTTTTGTTTCTTTAAACATACCAGAAATATTAGAATACTTTGCTGATCTTTTAAATGAAGGCCTTTTAGCAGGACTCAAATTTTGTTTTAAAATTTCTTAACCTGTCTAGTCTTTGGATCCCTTTTCTGTTAAGTGAGAGAATTCAGCTATGTGGTCTAACATGTATCTTTTAATATGGAAATTGTCTAATTGCAAGATACTTGTGCATTACTTTTGAATAGTTAATAAAAATCCAGTGGAGAGTGGAACAATTCATATCAAAGGAATATATTATAATCGGTATCCCCAGAATGCACTATCTTCGTTACTTTGTATACAGTTTTGGCATTTTCTTCATATATAAGCAGACATTAAAAAAATACTTTTGATTAGTCTCTTTCAATGATAATAAACTTAGTTTCAAGTATTACTGTTGTAGTTCGTAGTATTGCCATCTTTAAATAGTTAGAATAATGAGTATACATTTATGTTCATTCCATTTGTTTGTAAATGAAGCGAGAGAGTCATCAGAAACCAGGTGACAGAGTGAGGAGAGAAGAGAAACACCACCTCTCCTCTGAACAGTTAGAGACTATTATATCCTTGAATACATCCTTGGAAAGCCTATGTTTGTACGCTGCAAAGGGATGTATTGATTATCAAAAGACCTTTTTCCCCCCTTATCTTGCCTACTGTGCTGATTGTGTTATATAAATTTACAAGATAAGCACTGGACTATGAACCACAAGGTCAGCGGTTTGAGCCCACCAGCTGCTCTGCGGGAGAAAGATTTAGCGCCTTGGAAACCCTATACAGACAGGGTCTTCATGAGTTGGAACTGACTTGACGGCACTTAAAAACAACAATTCATTTTACTTTTACATTTTTTATTGTTGTGTTTGCCTTTGGTCTTTAAAATAATATTTTTTAAAAACTCCATTTTTTGAAAATGAAAATGGTAATTGTTAAGTGCCATCATGTTAATTCCAAATCATCGTGACCCTGTATAGCATTTCTAAGGACAGCTGGTGGTGCAGTGACTCTGAGGTTGCAGTTCAGTACTTTTATCCTACTGCGCCACACCAGTAGCTGGCACATATGGAGTACTTTATATGTTTGTATAAATTCACTATTGTTTTCATATATTTTAAAAGAAAATTGATATTTTAATATTTTATCAAGAACTCTTCTAGATGCCCAGGAGACAAGTTGGTTTATTACAGTCAGTGAATTCTCTTGGTTGGAAATAGATGACTGGGTGCCTTCGGGGAGAGGAATAGGAGGAAGACTTTATAGGTTTTGAATTCTGAACTACGTGAATGTACTGTCTTCTAACAACAACAAAAATGTAGTGCCTTTAAAGCTTTCATGTGGAATCCCAACGTGGGTATTTAGAAAGAGAAATAAAAGTCCTGGCTTTATCAAGTCCTATTGTAAAGGAGCTCTCTGGTAGCGTAGTGGTTACAAATCGGGCTGCGAATCTCAAGGGCAGCAGTTTGAAACTACCAGCTGCTCCGCGGGAGAAAGATGAGGCGTTCTGCTCCCGTAAAGATTAACAGCCTTGGAAACCCTGTTCAGGGTCGCGGTGAGTTGGAACCGACTCCACGTCACATAACAACAACAACATTGTAAATCTCAGTAGTAATTTGACTGTTATCACTGAGTGTAGTTGAGTCTGTTCTGCCTCATAGCCTTACTGTGTAGGGTTTCCAAGGAGTGTCTGGTGGGTATGAACAAACGACCTTGAGGTTAGCAGTCCAGTGCTTATCTTATATCGCTATACCAGGACTGTATAATCATTTTATTTATCTTAAAATATTCTGGATTATAGGAGCAAATTAGACTGTTACTAGTCATTTGGAGCATTAATGCTTATATAAAATTAAAATGGGAAGTGAATCTGGCTTGCAATAGCAAAATGTGGGGATATAGCTGTGTAACTAGAAAATTAACTAGGGAATGTCCTGAGTTTGGTAAAAGGGTCAGAAATGCCAAGTCTTCTCTAGAGACTGGTAAAAATAATAGATAAAATAAAGAATGATGTGCTCAATGAGCTACAATTCAAATAGAGGAAATTTAATGGGAAATGATTACATTAGTAGCAGATGGATTTGCTTCCTGAATTGTAATCTTACTGGAAATCCTAGAAAAGCTTAAATTTGTTTTTCAGATTTAGAGTTTGATAAAAAGATGGATAAAGAGATTTGTTTATCAGGTTGTGCTGTGGTGATTCTTACTGTGCCTTTTGGATATTTCACTTTTACTAGGCTATTTTTATGATTCCCACAAATCCACCACCAACATTCAGGAAGCCAGAACTTTGGTCTGATGATTTCACCGATTTTGTTAAAAAGTGCCTAGTGAAGAGTCCTGAGCAGAGAGCTACTGCCACACAGCTTTTACAGGTCAGTGCTTGTGCCTCTACAGGAAGGGGCATTTCTTCCTGCCTTTCAGCTTTCGGACATTGGCCAGATTTCTGTTTTTTTCACTATTTTCCAGGCTTACTCTACCTTTTTAAAAATTTTGTTTTAGTTTTGATGTAGTTAACTCTTTCCATCCACAGTTATTTTGAAAGTGAAACTTAAAATGGCTTCTCAAATTTTCAAAATGTGTCCAAACAAATGCTTGTCCCCATTATTATTTTTTGTTCTTGATTTATTTATTGTTCCTTGACCAGTCTTTGCCTTTTTTGGCTCCAGTATTTTAAAAATCAAGAAAACACTGCTATGGAGTTGATTCTGAGACATAGCTACTCTGTAGGACAGACTAGAACTGCCCCCATCTGGTTTCCAAGGCTGTGCGCTGTGAGGTAATGTGCTGGACTGCAAGGTTGGTTTAAACTGCAGGGTGGCAGTTCAAGCTCACCATCCGCTCCTCGGAACCTTTACACAGGGTTATTGTGAGTCGTTACTGACTCAACAACTTCCCTTTATAGAAACAGACTATCCCAATTTTTTCTGTGGAGTCGTTGGTGGTTTCCATCTGCTGATCTTTTGGTTAGCAGCTGAGTGCTTTAATCACAGCACCTCCAGAGCTCCTTTATTCGGGTATGCTGTTACTGTTGTTAGTGCCATTGAATCGGTTCTGACTAACAGTGACCCTGCATATAGTGTTTCTGAGAAGAACCTGGTTGGTTTCAACTGTTGACCTTGTGATTAGCAGCCCTGTGCTTCTCTTACAGTGTCACACCAGGACTCCATCTATAAGATGTATAAATACACAAGATCCTTAAATTCCTTGAAAAGAATAATATAACATGTTGTAAATACTAGTTCCAAGATTACCTAAAAATGAAGAATTTCAATATCTCCTGCTATAAGTAGACTTTGTATCCAGAGGAACAAGATGATTTTTATCTTCTCTGAAATTGATGCAAATAGAAATAATTTGATAGGTATAATAAATATTTGTGAGTCTTGATTCCTTAGACCTTTTTTTGCCTCAGACCTCTAAACTAATAAGTATCTCTCACTGACAAAACATGATACATGGAAAATGATTTTTTCATGTGACAAAAGTATTTAAAAAAAAAAAATTTTTTTTTAAAAGTGATTTTCCAGGGTACAATTTAAAAAAAGACTTTATTGAGAGGTACATGGAAACTGGCTCTTAAATGTGCTGTTTATTTTTATGAAAGTGTAACTTGGTACTCAACCTTCTTGGAAGGCTTAACTACCTTTAAAAATTACATATTCTTTAACTCAGTAATTTGAGATCTATGATTTTACTCTACAGAAATAAGTAAGCATTTGTGAAATGACCTATGTGTAAAAATATTTATAGAATATTATAATAGCAAAATATTAGAAACAGTGTAAATAGCTAGCAACAGATTGTATCTAGAAATTAGTCTATCAAGAAATTAATCTTAAATCTATCAGGAGAGGGATTGATATATATATATATATATATATATATATATATATATATATATATATATATATAATATGGAGCTCTGGTAACGTAGTGGTTACGAATCGGGCTGCGATCCTTAAGGTTAGCGGTTCGAAACTACCAGCTGCTCCGTGGGAGAAAGATGAGGCTTTCTACTCCCGTAAAGATTTACACCCTCGGAAACCCTGTACAGGGTCGTTATGGGTCGGAACTGACTCGCCGGCACTTAACAACAACAACAAATATATATATATATATATATATATATATATACACATATACACACACACACATACATACACACACACACACATATATATATATATGTATATATACAACAAATGTGTATATATATATACATATATATACATACACACACATGTATATATATACACAAGTCCCCAATTGATAATGTGATGTTGATCTGGTGACTCCATAAGGTGGTTCTGACATAACTGAATCTACCCACTGCCCTTTTTTGGTCGATTCATTAGTATTGTCTTTTATTATCAGTATCTTTTTAAAGCTGATAGTTATTTGTCTATGGGGGTTAGAAGCATTTTTTATAAAATTACACATAAGCGTATACACACACACACACACACACACACACACACACACACACACATGTTGTTGTTAAGTGCCGTTGAGTCAATTCCAACCCATAGCAACCCTATATAGGGTTTCTGAGGAGCGGCTGGTGAGCTTGAACCGCCAACTTTGCGTTTCAAACCGACTTTGCAGTCCAGCACATTAACCCACAATACCACACCAGGATGCCATATACACACATATATAAATAAAAATACACATCATAAAAATGGACTCTGATGATATGAAGTTTGGTGTTGGAATTTTGTATTTGCAATAGTAACTGTGAAAGGTTCAGTATCATCTGCATGAAGGGGCTTCAAAAAGTTTGTGAAAAAATTCCACTATCTTTTAATTCCATTTACCATGAACTTTTCGAAGCCCTCTCCTATTATCCCTGGGAATGAGGAGGTGCTTCTAGTCAGAAAATTAGTGAGATTTGTCTATATGGACCTTTTTTCCCCTTCATATATTTTGCAGTAATATCTCACTGCTTCACAAATTTATCTATCAACATTAGCAAAGTGATCAGCTTTGGGTCCTTGCTTTCAACTAGCAAAACAAAACTAAATCTGTATGACTGTTTTGATTTTTTTTTTTTTTTTAAACTTACTGTGCATTGAGTGAAGGTTAGCAGGCAAGATAATTTATTGTCAGCCAATCATATTATTTGCTTTATTTCGATAATTACAGTCCATTCCCTGCAACAGTAGTTATCCTGTATTGTCCCTGTGGCTTCCCTTTTACATCTTATTTTTCACAAATCAGCAAAGCAAAAATACTTAATGTATACATGCAGAACAAAAAAATATATATTCATTTAAATGTTCAAAGGACACATTTTGAAAGCCTGCCTCTCCTGTCCACAGGCACATGGCCTTTCTCAGTCCATGGGCCAGAGTCTACAGCTGTTCTGTCTCTCCATGCTGTCACCTCTCCCACCATCTCTGCTGTTACCGCTTCCCTAGGTAGAATCTCACCTTCCTCTCATTCTCTTCCTTCTTGCTGGTCTTGGAATTCTCTGTTGCTGAAATGAAAGATGAACTACTCCTCCCTTTTAGATATACATCTTCTGCAGTTGCAGTTGTGACACTCAATCCTCCTAACAGTTACTTACAATTGAATCACAAAATCCTATCACATATATGGCAGAGTTTTGAATAGTAAATATTAAAATTGAGCATCTGCAAGTGAACATCTGAGAATGATAGCATCAGCAAATTATATGCTGCAACATTGTATACAGTATGTATTACTAATGATAAGATATACTCAAAACAAACAAAAAAGCCAGACCTTTGTTAAGTATGATATGTTGTAACTCTAATATGTCGTAACTTTGTCATAATATGTCATAACCTGTATGTGCATATGTGAATGCTTGTAATGGTATTTTTCCAGAAAATAAAACATACATCTGGTCTCCAAAGAAAGTATAAATGTAGGGCTGAGAGGCAAAAGTGGATCAGAGACCGATTTTTAACTGAATTTTTTTTTTTTCAATAAAAAAAAGGTAATTTTTGTTATGGTAAAAATACAACTAATAAAACATCTGCCAATTCAGCCTTTTTTACATGTACAATTCAGTGATATTGATTATATGCATTCTATTGTGCAACCATCACCACAATATGTTTACAGATATTCCGTTACTGCTCCCCTCCCAGAAGCTATGAATAAACTTCTGTCTCTGTATTTGCCTATTCTAGATACTTCAGTTGAGTGGAATCATACAGCACTTGTCCTTTTTTTTTTTTTTCTTCAAGTCTTTTGAATTTTGTGTCATGTGCAAGTACTACTTTTCAAAAATTAATTAAAATATTTATTTTGAAATAAAACGGGGCTTAGAAAAGTTTGTGGAAAAATGGAATTAAAAATAATGGAGTTTTTACCCCATAAACCTTTTGATGCCCGCTTGTATTGTCGGAATTTCTAAGGAAATTTGACTGTATAAAATCAAGGGCCTACTGGTAATATTAGCTGTATAAATATCATTGTTATCCAACTTTAAATGAGGCAAGAAAGGAGAGGGAGACAAAACAAAACAAAAAAATGGGGCAAAGAGCACAAAGTAAGCTGGTGAAGTAAGTCTGAATATCTTTATTTGTAGTCTTCTACTGTTTTTTCTAACTATTCTTTAAGAAAAAATGTGTTCCTTTCAACTGAGTTTTTTTGGATGAAAGGAATTTTAGAAACACTTAGTTAATTCCTGACTTGTGGATGAGCGTGTTACTGAAATCTAGTAAGATTAAATGACTCCCTGAAGATCACACAGTGATGAAGGGATTGTGCTCATTGTATTCCATTTGAATTTTTCTGCCTCATGATGCTGACTTGTATGGACCACATCACAAGCATCGTTATCATCTCGTTTCTAATTGGGTTTGCCCAAGCATCCGTCTCCATAGTATGTCCAAGAAGACAACTATGTTTGTATAGTGCTTATTATGGAGTACTGGTTGGTATAGTAGGATAAGTGCTAGATTGCTAATCACAAGCTTAGCAGTTCAAACCCACCAGTCACTCCTTGGAAACCCTATACAGGGTCACTATGGGCCCAAAAAGACTTAACGGCATTTAACAACAACTAACAACTGCATAGTGCTTGTTAGTATTTACTATACCTAGTAAATACTAATTAGTAAATACTGAAAATCATGTACAGGGTTATTATGAGTTGAAACTGACTCTGTGGCACTTAACAACATTATTGATGACCATTTAAGACCCCAGTCACTACACAGGAGGAAGATGAAAATATCTGCTCTTGTAAAATTTCCAGCCTGGAAAACACTACTTCAAGAAGCCAAAAGACATTTATAAAAATAGAAGAATGTATCATATTCATGGAGAGGAATATTTAACATTGTAAAATGTCCACACTACCCAAAGCAATCTGTAGATATAATGCAGTCCCAAT